GTGATCACCACCACAAGCAGGTACACCTGCGTCGCCCGGCCACACTAGCCCGCTCCAGGTTGATGATATGACGACCTCGGCTACGCCTGTCGGGCAGATGCATATCAGGAGGAGGAGCGTCAGGAGGTAGCAGGCTTGGAGGGCGGTGAGCGCGGGGGCGGTCAGCCCCTTCTTGGAGGCGGAGCGCGTGGGAGAGTGGTCCAGTAGTAGGAGGGGCGGGGGCGGGTGGTGGTGGGGGTGCGACTGATGGTGGGGGTGGTGGGAGGTGGTCGTGGTGGTGATGGTAGGGGTGGTAGTGGTGGTGGCATGGGGGAGGTTGGGGGTGATGTCGCGCAGGGCGGTAGGGAGGAGGTGGATGGTGCTTGGCCACGCGGCGAGGTCGATTCCGGCGGCGCGCGCGAGCCAGTAGAGGATGTATCGGGCTAGCTCGCGGTGGTTGTAGAGGGCGATGGCCGTGGCGAGGAGGAGGGCGAGGATGTGGATGCTGGGGGAGAGGAGGGAAGTCATGCCGCCGCCGGGGAGAAAGGGGCCGGACGAGGGTCCGGAGGGTTTGATGGTGAGTTTGGAAGGGCTGAATTGGTTGGTGGGAGGTGAGGAGCCGATGAAGGCTGTGTTCGCTGTGCCTGCGGCTTCGTTTGCCCTCTTGGCTGGTTGGGCTGTGTAGAGGTTGCCGAAGTCGCACTCGTTGTAGCTTCCTTCCTCATACTCTATCCCGGTCCGTCTCTCGTAGGACTCGCGACACTTGGCTTTGAGCCCTGAGCTGAAAGCGGCCACGTCGAACTGGGATGGAATTGGCCAGTCATCTTCAAAATAATTTTCGTAATATCTCTCCATGGCGTTGCGTTGAAGTGTAGTTTGTCTCACTCTTGCTAGCAGGAAATAATTAGCTAAGCTTTCTTGTGATGCAAGCCTGTTGTCTTGAAGTTTAGGGAAATCAAAGGTTGGCAAGGACGGAATACGTTTGTTTTCTCCAAGCTCCTGAGTTGCGCCAAGGGGGGACGTTTATGAAACTGTTAAAGATGCCTCCTGTAGATAAAAGAAAAAGAAAGAGATCTCGTGACAGGACTGAACCTCTCTTTGTCTTTGATCTCCTCAGACTCAGGGGGCGATCTGGGTGGCCGGTTGCCTGGTAAATGGCTTTGGCAGTGTTAGCCCATTATTCTCCGACAAAGGCCTTTCACTTTACGTTCAAAAACACATTGTTAGCTCCTGTAAAAATAAGGTCTCTTTGTTCACAACTGTTAGCTGGGACATTGTAGCATTCACAGAATCTCATTGTCTGGCAATCTAGGTTATAACCCCTGACCGGTGCCATGCCAACCCCTGAATCATGTATACCAATGATTACAAGGTCAACAAACTGATTCCCACCACAGCTAGAAGCATAATTTCTGTCATTCCTACGAGTGGTGTCTTATCTCCAACTCGAATCTTCGTTCCCATTCCAAGCCACCCTATTGTACCCATACTTCTTTTTGTTTTTCCCCTTGACCACGACCGTTTCAATGCCGCCGAAAAGGAACAATGCCGGCCTCGCCAAACAGGTGCCCAACAAGCGCCGCCGTCTGTCGGCAGGCTCGTCATTGTTCCGCGGCCGCGGGAGGGCCGATGACAACTACCAGCCACGACAAACCCGGTCTCTGGCGGCCTTGCATGGAGGGTCCCCGCTCCTGTTCCTGGACGATAATAGCGTGCCTAGGGTAGCCCCCCAGCAGGCATCACGCCCATCCCCCGCCCATGTTGTTTATGCTCCGGAATCCTCGGCTGAGTCTGAAATCCAAGTGTTAATCGACCATGACGACGAGGAGGATGCCACGCCCCCCCTCAGCCCTGATGACCCGCGCAGACACATAAGGTCGGGTGCCCCGAGCCCCGAGGAACACCGGCCACAGCCAGCCCCAAACACAATGGTCAACCCAGCCTCTCCCCCCACTCCCAATCCATAGGGGACATCACACCCCCGCCAGCCAATGAACCCCCCCGTCCTGACGACTCACAGCCCTGCACCAGGTGCAAACCTACCTGTGGTGGCACCTACGGTTGCCTATACTATTCAGACGATCCCGACAGCAGTTCCGGTTCCAGCAGTTCCAGTTCCAGAAGTCCCACTTCTGGGTCGGGAGCGCCGTCAGTTGTCGTCAAGAGCGATTCAAGTTGCGGGTCGCCAACCGACAGTAGGCAGGCCTTTCAGCTCCGATGCGACAACTCTCGTAAAGACTGAGGGCAGCGACAAGCCCAAGATAAGCAGCAGCAACCCGAATGGCAGTGACGAGAAGCCCTCCATCTCTTCAAGCGAGTCCCCGGAGAGGGGCGGAGAACCTGAACAACCAAGCAACCCTCTGCGTCTCCCCCCTCCATGGCTTGGCTCCTGGACGGAATTCTTATCCGTCGGAGAAGAAGCATCAAGAAGCCGTCCCAACACCACCACCACCACCACCATCACCAACAACAACAACCCACCATCCACCCCCGACCAGCCGCACACCCCCCGAGCCCCTCATCAACTGGTCGCACCCAGCCCCCGACTTCAGCCCCAACAGCGACTACGCGCCTCGAAGCCCAACTCGCGCTCCAGCCCCCACATCGACGCGGACACCCCGCCCTTCATGCGCTACCAGCCGGGCGTCTTCGCCGCCGCCCAGCACCTGGCCCCACCTAGCTCCGAGTCCAGCAGCATGCGCCTCCCCCCAGCGACGCCGACACCGACACCGACGACGCACACGCCGGCCAGCTGCTGTGTCACGATATGGTCGCATGCAGACGACTCGGCGGGTCACGCTGGTAGTGCCCGAGCCAATCGGCAAAGAAGGGCCTCCTCCAATGGGAACCGGATCGAGACTGCAAATGCGATCCGAGGGTGGCCAATCAGGAATGGATCATTGGATCGAGAAGCGATCTAATGATCCAGGACGGATCGCAGGATCATGGAAATATTCTCGATCCAGGTACGGAGGTACCCAAGAATTAGCTAGTATATAGTCACCCGTTCTGGAGGACTCTGGGAGTTCTCCAGTTAGCAATCACAACTACAGTTCGCTACAAGCTCGGAAGCCTACTGTTGAGACAAGCCTTTGTTGTGCACCTTTTGGCTGCACCGAACCTAAGCACCCTTGAGAGATTACCTTCAACCGAAGCTGAACCCTAACAGGACAGGGTCCTGAAGTAGGTTCGTCACATGCTGGTATTCGGCGGCGACGGCAACCAC